GACACAGGGTCGGTGGCCCAAAAAGAGTGCTGAATTTTTGCTGTACATGCTTAAAAATACAGATTAATGCTTAAGGGTTTAGATGTAGATTCTCTGGTCATTGAGCACATCCAGGTGAACAAAGCTCCCAAGATGTGGAGTAGAACTTCCAGAGCTCATGGGCAGATTAACCCACACGTGAGCTCTCCCTGCCACACTGACATGATCCTACTGAAAAGGAGCAGATTGTCCTTAAACCAGAAGAAGAGGTTGCACAGAAGGAAAAGGTATCCTAGAAGAAACTGAAGAAACAAAAACTTATGGTCCGGGAGTAAAATCAGCATCAAATAAATACTAATAAAAGTAATTTAACGAATAGAGTAAGTCACCTCCATTAATTAAGCTGATATTTGGAGAATGTCTGGTAAGAGTATATTTTATATGAGAGAGGTATGAAACACGGGCTATGTCCCCTAGAAACTTTATCTCTAGTTAGAAGCAAGAAATCTGCATGAGGTTGTAAACAGTGTGTCTCAATTCTAATAGCTGATGCCCGGCCGGGCGTGGCTCAGCGGTTGAGCATCGACCTAGGATCCAGGCAGTTGGGGTTCGATTCCAGGTCAGGTCACATGCCCAGGTTGCGGCTCAATCCCCAGTCAGGGGTGTTGCAGGAGGCAGCCGATCAATGAATCTCTCATCATTGATGTTTCTATCTCTCTTTCCCTCTCTCCTCTCCTCTCTCTGAAATCAATAAAGATATATTAAAAAAAAAAAATTCTAATAGCTGATAATGGGATTAAGATATATTTGTTTCTAAGGTCACTCATTCATTTAGCAACATGTATTAGGTGCCAACTATATACAACTGTTTAGTGTTTGCGGGCACAGGGACACATAAGACTGTCTAGTCTCTGCTCAGCAGAAGGCATTCAGGTAAGTCAGTTTCAGGACAGCTCTGTGGTTCTGTGATTTAATGTGTTTTTGGTGAATCACATAATTAGGTTGGAAGCAACTTTTATTTGCTTCTTTGAAAAAGAGACGTACATTGCTCGTAAGAAGGAAATGGCAGTAAGTTGGACTGAATCAGGCTTTTTCCAACATGCTTCTGCTCATTGTATAAACAGTGATTGAGCACCTGCTGTAGGTGAGTCACTCGGCCAGAGGCTGAGTTTGTAAAGCTTAGTCAGAAGTAGTCGCTTGCTTCGGGGAATTCCTAGTCATAGACCAGGCAGACAGGTTAGTAAAATATTTGCAGTGCGTGGTCCACATGCAGAAACACACACACACACGGAGGGGTGGGGGAACATATCTTCTGGTAAAAAGAGATGATTGTCAACACTGCTTATATATAATGGGTGCAAAACCAGTAAAAGCTTCATAGTGGAAAGGAGAGAGCATTTGCTATTTCCTGAAAAGTTATCCATGAAAAGAGGGAGGAGTAGATTCTGAACAAAGATGAATTCTGTCAAAGCGGAGAAGCACAGAACATCTTAGAAGTTGGGAGCATTTTCTGCATGATGGTCAGAGCCCTCCTTGCAGGGGCCAGAGCAGCCTCTAGGCCAGTGGAAGTGTCTGCACAGTGTTTCTGTTTACAGAAAAGCTCAGAATAAAGGAACCTTCTACCTGCATGAGGCTCTGTCCCTTGTTTCACTGCAGGGAAAGTGAGGTGAGGGTGGGGCTCGAAAGGACTTCACAGGAAACTGGGTGACCTCTTGGCAAGTAAAAGCCATGTATTCCCGCAAATGAAAGCAGTAACGCCAGCACATCTTATTTCTCCTCTCATGTCATCTCGAGGAAACACAGTGAGGCCTGGAACTTCGGGATAGTCTGTTCCTGTGACCTAAGTCACATGAGAATGGATTCCCCAAAGGTCAGGGTTGGGTACGGGCTCACCTCTCTGCCCATCAGATTGGAACTTGCTGAGGAGAGCGTGCCCTTCCCAGGGAAATTCTAAAGAACTCTGTTGAGCTGTCATCATTACCATTAAAAAAAAAAATTGTAACTGAATAATCTTACAGTAAGATTATTGATAAACTCTCAAAACTTTGGATAAAGGAAATATCTTTGGAACTTCCCTTTCTACCCATGGAGGTAGTAGGGGGATGAAATGAGAAGATGTAGGGGCTTTTATAAATTTTATCTTATTGTAGAATATACATAACAGAAAATGTACTGTCTTAACCATTTTTATATGTATGACTCAGTGGCACTGAGCACATTCACATTACTGGGCAGCCGCCACCCCACCCATCTCCCCCATGATTTCATTTGTCCAAAATGACTCTGCACTAAGCAATCTGTCCCCACTCCCCGCCTTCAGCCCCTTGTCACCACGGGTCTACCTTCCATCTCCATGAATGTGACCACTCTAAGGACTTCATATAAGTAGAATCACAATATATCTGTGCTTTTGTGACCAGCTCATTTCACTTAGCAGCATGCCTTCAAGGTTCATCCCTATGACAGCATGTGTCAGACCCTCATTCCTTCTAAGGTTGAGAATAATATTCCACCCAATGTATGTACCACATTTTGATCATCCGTTTATCTGTCAGGCATTTGGGTTATTGCCACCTTTTGGCTTGTTATGAGTAATGCTGCTATGAACATGGGTGTGCAGATACCTGTGGGAGTCCTTCCTTTCCATTCTCTGGTTGAGTGGCTGGGCCAAGTGGTAAATTCTGTGTTTAGCTCTTTGAGGCTTCACCAGACTATTTTCCACAGCAGCTGTGCCATTTTATATTCCCACCAGCAATGCACAGTGTTTGGATTTCCAAGGACGTGGGTCTTCACACATGAAAGAGATGGTGCCTTCAAAAAATGGCATCTCAAACCAACGCTAAAATGTGCGCATTTGCGGTGAAATGTTTCTCTGTTAAATGTAAAAGCAGTGTTTGTGAAATGTGGTTTAGTTTTCAGCTCTTTGTTCTGAAGTGCTCAATATCAGCAGTGTTAACATCAGAGTGACTGCACTCTAGGTAAAGACCGCACGCAGCCTGGGGTGTCAGCCCCGTAGCGAGGAAGGCGCGGGAGTGGTCGGGAAGGCCAGGCAGACGTGAAGAGGGGCCCAAAGCCGACCTGTGAGCAGCAGAGCCCATTACACTGAGTAAATAACTTTAGTGAAAACAAGAAGGGCGTTGATTAGGACGGAAAAGAAAAAGCAAACATTTTATATACACGATGCCCAAAGAAATGGCAGTCACAGCCTGTAAGAGGCCATTTGAAAGTTGCTTGGTATATAAATATTAGGAACATGAAATTTCAGGGAAAACAAAGCAAAGGCTGTCAGAAATGGTTTTAAATAAACAAGCCCAAGCACAGACACCTAAATCAACCACTGGGTTTGCAGGCGAGGAGGGAATAGCGATGGAGGATTATAATATTTGTGTGAAAGGCGGCTGCGTGTGTAGAAAGTCAAAACACCGCATTCCGCCTCGTGTTTATAGATACCTTGCATTTTGAATGCTAGGTTTTTACTAGCCGGGAAAAGTTCTCTTCTGACTTAAAGGCATGGTCGTGGGGAAAGAGGAGATTGCTAGTGCATTCAGCAGCTGGAGAGATGTTTCTCCGGTGTCTGTTGTGGGCCAGGTTCTGGACCGGGGAGCGGCGATCATGGACATGAATGAGACTTGGAGCTTGCAGTTGTGGTGGTGGGGCAGACAGATCAGTTAGGTAGACATCCCCCATACAGTGAGGAGGTGAAGGCCCAGGATACTGTGTGCACGGAGGGAGCGTAGCCTGGGGCTGCTTGCTCTGGGAGCCAGTGGCCCCTAGAAGAAGACGTCTGAACTGACATGTGGCTGAGGAGCAGTTAGCCTCCCAAAGAAGGAAGTAGGATTGAGGTGGAGCAGAACCTCTTTCTAGGAGGAAGGACGTGCTAAGAGTCCGATTTGGTGGGGAGGTGGTGGGGAAGGAGGACCGGAGGTCCTGGAAGCTACCAGCAGCTCAGTGGTACGGCTAAGCTGCGAATCCCAAGGCAGAAAGCAGCCAGGGATCATGCTAGAGAGAAAAATCAAAGCTATGTGTTTTTCTTCTCTTCATTAATGTCTAAATCCATCCCCTGTTAATCCCTGTCACACCTTTTTTGGTAATCATGATGTGAGTGTGTGTGATTGAGTTTTCACTGTAAGTAGGCAGTTCTTTGGAGATGGGGAAGCTGATCGGTGTTGATGGTAATTGGCCTCATGCTCTCATAGGCTTTGTTCTGTTTCCACCACTGCCTGAGCCGGGCATTGTGGATGTGTCTCCAGCGCCCATTTGGTTCCTGCCTTGTTGAGCAGCAGCCACGTAGTTTGGGGAATTGCCTTTAGCTAAAGGTTGGCTAGTTTAAGGGTAATCCTATCTCTACTGCCAGGGTTTCAGTTCATTAATGGGTGTGTGATGCACTTTGGTCCAAGGAGACCAGAAGGAAGCTTGGAGGAAAGAATGGCCAACCAAGCTGTTTCTGTTCTAAATGAGAACCAGAAGCTTGTAACTCTGTGTGCCCTGATGGGACTTAGGCTTCAGAGAGGGGTGACATCATGGATAGCAGAATGGAAAGATTTAAAAATCTATATCAGAGCCCTGACCAGTGTGTCTCAGTTGGTTGGAGCCTGAGTGGATGCTTGAAGAACAGAGAAGATTCAGAAGGGGGACAGAATGAGGATTTTTCCAGATAGAGGCAGAGATTTCAGCTAAACCGCAGGGGTTGAAATAATTGCACGTGTGGGAGGCATTAACGAAGTTGCCTGATTTGGCCTTCTCGTCTGCAATGTGGTGATTAGTAACTTGCTCAAGGTCAAACGGCTTGTAACTGACGGTTTTTAGATTTTCATTCTTCATCTTTTTGACTCCAAAGCTCAGGGTTTTCCACTATGCCACACTCCTTCCTCACCAAATTCTTTCCCGTAGTTACCAGACCACTGCTCAAAACCTCCGAAGCCTTGTTTCTTCCCTCTTAGGCCAGATGAAATATTGTCTGCCCTGGACACCTTCGTCACATGATTTGTTTTCTGAGTTATATATTTTTTCCTCTCGTCTAGCTCTCCATTGCGGCTTGAATCCACGGGGTATTGATCACCCTGCCCGTGCTGAAGGCATTAAACTGCAAATTGAAGGTGAAGGTGTTGAGTCTCAATCCATTAAAAACAAACATTTCCAGAAGGTGCTTGACCAGAAAGGAACCCCCAAGCGACTGCAGGCAGAAGCTGAGACGGCCAAGGTAGGTAATAACCCAGCACATTAAGGAGATTTTGAAACTGCAGCTTTGCTGCCTTGTGGTCTGGCCACAGAGAAGAACTGATGGTGCTTTCACTAATTACTGTTGTCCCTTCAGTGTAACAAACACTGCTTCTTGATTATAGGTAATAATAAATGAAAATATTGACCTCCTCCCCTTTTGGGGTGAAATCAAAATGCATTTGTGGTCAGTCTCATAGCATGAGGTTCTGAGTATGGTAGAGAATGGGCTGTAGTGAAGAACGTCTTGGACTTAAAGCTGAAAGATTTGCTTGCCAGGCTCAGATTTATCATTTTATGACGTTGGGCAAGTCGTGCGACTTTCCAAGCCTCAGATTCTTCATCTATAGAGCGTGTATCATAAAAACTACCTTCCTCAGTGGGTTGAGCAGATGAAATAATATGGTGCATCTGGAAGTATTTTGTAAAAGGCCCAGTTGGCTGCATGAGTATTGAGGGGCTTTTGATGACAAGCGCTGTTAATAATAATTGACATTTTATTAAATATATCCATATATTCCAGGTACTATTTGAAGGACTCTTGATGTACTGGCTTATTGTGCCTCTGTAACAATTCTATGAGGTAGACAATAGTAAAATGAAACCTAGTTAATAAGAAATACAATTGTTCTAGTTTATTGGATGGTTTGTTCTTTTTAGTCTTAGCCTAGATGTAGGTACAGAACACACATTGGTAAACCGGGAGTTGGAGGGTAAGTGATGCTTTAGTAAACCTTTTAAAAAGCTTTCCCACAATGAAACAGGCACTGTATGGGCTTTTGTCTGAAATAAGTGAAGATGCTTGTGTTGGGGGCATAGTGTTGAAGATATTCATATTAATTTGCCTCTTAGAAATTGAAACAACTAGTCATCATATGGTATTTGGCTTCTCCCTTGTGCATTCACTGCAAAGGAACTGCCTTTCAGAGGTTTGAGTGAATATGGGCATACCTTGGAAAGCAAATGTCTCAGTCACCTAAGAAAAACCTTAGAAACAGGTGTACCTCGAAGGTGTGTATTTGGGGTTAGGTTACTGACTATTGCAATAAAGCGAGTCATAATCTTTTTACTGGTGAAGGATCTTGCTTTCAATTTGTAAAAAAAAACAACAAAAAATACACGCAGGTGTGAAGCTCAATAAAATGAGATATGCCTCTTGAGACTTTGCTATCATACAATAACCACCTCCCTCCCCCTAAGAAACATCTTCCAAAACCAAGTGTGAATTTTTTGTTTTATCTGCAGTTTTGAATAATTATCATTGTTGCTTCTCTTTTTTAGTGTGGATAATTAAAAGCTGATAACATTAAGTGCGTGTGCGTGTGTTGTGTGTGTGTGGTCGGGAGTGGGGAATGATTAGCAAGGAAACTTGCAGATATTCTGCATAGACATTTTAGCTAAGAGAAATTGCACCTCATAGGAAATTGGTTTATGATCAATGAAGTTTGGTTTGTGAGCCGAGTCAGAAATAAGGGAGTCCTGTTTTGACACCTAAACCACATTAATCTCTGATTCCACACAGGCATCTTAAAAGAGTGAGGGGGAAAATGTCTTGATCTTCTTTAACTTGGAAGATACTGTTTGAGTAGAATCTTTTTCAAAGGATGCTTAAAGTGATGAAAATTAAAGTGGAGAAAAAGAGAATAAATTATTGATATTTGTCTGATATGAATTCAAATTGAATTAAATATTTCGATATTATCTCTTTTATTTGCAAAACAGATTGGCATTATAAGAAGTGTGATTCAAATCTGATATGGTTTGATTATTTCTGAATTATTGAGAATATATGATAGTGTAGTGAATCTCAACTTCCAGGTGGGTAGCACTAGCCTTTGCCTCTCGGTCACTTTATATTTGCTTGGCTGGCAACCTACTTTGCTCAGAATATAGTCGTCTGTAATGAACATTTTGCCAGGAATAGACCACATCCTGGAAATGAGATTCGTTTGTGTTCATCCGCATTATCTACAATGGAACCCCCAACCAGATGGGGCTGAAAGGGGACTCTGCGTGTTTTCACATTACATCATGTTTAGGAGTGAACAGACTAGAAGCTTCAAAACTTAGGCAAAGCTTTTATTTATTCATATTTTCATGGAGGATTGGCCCATAGCAATGGTTCCTGGGGGCACGGAATTAACAGTAAGCACTCTGGTGTCGTTCCTGCAGACCTGCCGTATCACAGAAGTTTCTGAACCACGCACAATGTGAGCTAGTTTTATGCCTGGGTGAACCCACTGAAATTTTCTCTTCTGTTGCATTCAGAGGGTTATTGGAGTTGTGAGTCATCTTTTCTTTTTTGGGGGTTAGAAATTGAACCTCTGGTAACTTGACCTATTCTGAACTTACCTGAAAGAACCCTCTGGCCAGAGATGTATGCATTTAAAGCCACTCGGTGATATAAGTTGGTGCAGCTTCTCTGAAAGATGTTCTGAATGCATATTTTAAATGTGCATAATTTTTAAGCCACTAATTTTCTCTAGGAACTTGTAAGGAAATAATCATCCAGATGTACAAAGATGGCTGCAGGAGAATCACTCTAGCACTGTTTATCCTATGAAACCTTGGAAACAGCTGAATGTCCATTCAAAGGACACCCTGAGTGGACATGTAGGAAAGAAAGAAAGAGTGTACTCCTGCAGTGCAAAAGAACGTTTCCTTCATAAGGCTGAGGGAGACCTATGCGTATTTATCTTAGTCTATTCCTATTTCTGTAACAACATGTTTTGACTGGATGGCTTATAAACAAGAACAATTTATTTCTCACAGTTCTGGAGGCTGGAAAGCTCAAGATCAAGGTGCCACCTGACTCAGTGTCTGCTGAGGGCCCACTAGCTCATTAGTAGATAGCTGTCATCTCGGTGTGTCCTCACGTGATGGAAAGAGACAGGGAGCTCTCTGGGGTCTCTTTTGAAAAGGCACAAATCCCGTTCATGGGGGCTCTACCCTTGTTACCTAAGCACCACCAGAGGCCCCACCTCCTGGCGGTGAGGTTTCAACATGAATTTTAGGGGAACAAAGGCATTCAGTCTTTAGCAGTATTTATGCAGGAACACGAGTGATAATATTTTAAAGTGGGGAGGGGAAGAGAAGGGCAGGTTACTGCACAGCATGTATAGCATGTTCCCATTGATGTTAAAATGTCTTTCACTGCATGAGGGCATCGCTGAGTCTGGAAGAGTTTACTCCACAGTTTGAGCATCAGTTTATATCTGGAGCTGAGATTATGGAGAAAACTTTTTCTTTCTCCACTTCTGTTTTGTTTGAGGTTTTTTTCCCCTCTTAAATATGCATTCTTTTAAGTAGAATATTTTTTTTAAGCCTTCTACAGATTGCCGTGTTAACTTTAGTAGCTCAACTGTGACGTTTCCTGTTTGGTGAGTCATATTCTGCCATTTAGGATGCTGTGTTTCCTCCCATGGCTTCTAATCCTTGCTGGTAGGTTGTTTGCTAAGGGAGAAAGTTATCATGGCGACTGTGTGTGGTGGTGGAAGGCACTTGAGAAGGTTTTTTTGGTATATGTGCTGCTGACAGGAGCACTGATGAGGTGTTTTGTGCTTGTCTCTTCCTGAATCTTTTGGGATGTAACACCTTTTACCAGGTGTTACATTATGTTTCAGTTTGACATTCTGTCTCTTGGTTACTGACTGACCATGCTAATCAGGTCCCCTCATTTGAATTTTCCAGTTCCCAGGCTTTATACTGGGAACCTGGTTCCGCTCCTGACCATGCCTGTGGGTTCTGACCATGTTGTGCTTTGAAACCAATCAATCCCTCAGCATGTCAACTGCTCCAGATCTCCAGCAGGAATAGCAAGCTTCATGTCTCCTCACTGCTGTGGTTTCCTGACACCTAGAGATTTCTCTTCTTTGATTTTAAGTGTGGCATCATATACATTTAAAAACATATTTTCTAGTATCTTTAAGTTTCTAGAACCTGGCCGGGGGTGGGGGATGGGGTGTGTTGTAGCATGAGCTTAATTTAGCACCTTGATCCTGAAATTTTGTATTGCTCTCATCATTTAAAAATGTATCTTCTCTCTCTTTCTCTATATATATATATACATATATATGGAAAATAATACAATGATTAATAAATAATAATACAAGAATGAACTCTGTGTTTTGTGTACTCACAATTGTAAACCTACTTTTGCCCCACCCCTTATATCTATTCTGGGGAAAATCATCCATTTTGCTTCTCTCTTAGAATGTTTCTTCAGCCCCAATGCCCCAAAAGTCCAGAACCCTAATTCTAGAAGGAGCTTGTCTGTGCCACAAGCTGCCTCCAGCTCTCCTAGACCAAAGGCAAAGCAAAGGAGAACCAAGCTCACTTTTAAACCTTTTTATTGGGCAGCATTCAGTCTAGTTGGGGGGAAAAAGGATACAATTGAAATGCTGATATGCAAAAGATATTTACCAATATAAGTCCTAAATGCCTATGAGCACTTGGGAATCCAGAGAGCATGTGTGCCATTCCACAAGTTCAAGATGCAAAACTGTGTTAACTTAGCTTTGCAGGTGGGTACAAGGCAAGAGAGATAGGAGGCATAGCATGCTCATCTCACTGGGAGGCACAGAAGCTATGAAGGAACACAGCTTCTTTCTCCCTCTCACCCACACAGGGCCATGTACAACTGCCCCAGATGAGAGCCAAGGTAGGCATGAGTCTCCTTGACACAGAGAAGGCACAGGCTCTGTTTCCCACCAATCTCTTTTTATCATTCTAGTCATGAAGGCCTAAAGCCAACTTACAGCTCCTGAAAGACCAGGTATAGTTCCACGTAGTAGTTTCCAAAGAAATAGCCCCATGAGAGAATGAGGTCCTTCCTGGACGGGCCCAAGCCTGAGGTTAGTGAACCTTTTCCTCACAGAGGCAGGAGGGATGGGGCTTCCAGAAGAGGCAGAACTTGACCTGTGTTGTGAAATATGGATAAAATTCAAATACACAGCAATAAGAATGGGAGGTGCCCTTAGCAAT